GGGTGAATAATGCGAGGTGCAAAGACACCAAGTTTTGTGGGAGGGGGTAATGGGTGACATGGTTTCGGCGAGGGCGCAGATGTGTTTTGAAACCTATAGGGCCACCATGGTTAAGCCTGAGGTAAGCAAATTTTAGAAAATAGTACCTGTAGATGGCTGGAGATTCATCATCAACACCAAAGTCAATATAAAAAGCCAACAAATTTTTCTTTTACCAGCGATTTTCGGAAACCATAGATATCTAATTAATATGTGTGATGTACCACAGAAATAAAACTTTAAAAAACACTTTAATAACTTTCAAGTTGTGAGTAAATCACGATTAGGCCTATATATAGTCAAAATAGCCAACAAATGTTTTCGGCAACCATAGAGATGTAAATAATATGTGTGATGTAAGCTTACCATTGAAAATAAAACTTAAAAACTTTGTCTTTAATGTATTGTACTATTAAACTTGAAAGCCGTGAGTTCAAATCCAATCATTCATGGTGGTGCTGAGATGAGAAAATTTGAGGAAATAATACCTCTAGAGGCCCAGAAATGACACTTTTATAGAGTAAAATTCATTATCAAATCAACATTATATTGTAAAAATGTAGTGCAAACAAATTTCTAATGTTTTACTAGCCATTTTCGGCTTGATACGTGGTGATGCATCATAGAAAGTGAAACTTAAAAACATTGGCTATGTTCTCACACGGCAGCTAACGGTTAGCAGTATCCGGATCCTGCTAACCGTTAGCTGCCGTGCGTCCATGCGAGAAAATCCCGATCCGGATACCAACAATATGATGACCGATTCACTGGCCAATAAGAAACTGGAAATTGTTTACGCGTACGTTGATGATAGAAACACGCTCAGCTTGCTAACCGTTAGCGGTATCCGGATACTGCTAACGGTTAGCGCGTTCGGGCGTTCTCACGCAGGTGCTAATGATGCATCACTCCCGATCCGGATACTAGGGCTCTCGTGAGGACCAGGCTATTGTCCTTAATGCATATACTTACTTTAAGCCTACCTACATCAGAGATTTGAGTCCACACCTTAGTTGGGGTAAATTTGGGAAAATCGATTTAATTAATAGCTGAGATGTTCCATAGAAATTAAAACTGAATTGTCTATGAGGTATTTGATTTTACTTTACCTACTTCATGTGCCGAAAACCAATCTTATTACTATTATGAACTATTATTATTATTACACGCTTTTTCAAAGGCACGAGCACTCGAGTCCTTCCATTTGAGATTTGTTTTTTATGGAATTAGTAGACGACTAGACGCGTTTAGATGACGTCTGAAAAGTTAGGCTTAAAATAGAAAGTGTATGTTTTACCAGACAAGTAACATGTATACATGAGAAACACACACACACAAGACACACACGGCCACCGAAGAGGGGTTGCTAGCCATCCTATTCACCCCCCCCCCCCCCCCCCCGCCCCCCCAGATCCACTTATGTATAGATTTTCTTGTCACAGTAAATTTAGGCAAATAGCATTGAATTTTTTGTCACTAAAAATGGGTTTTTTTTGGAGATATTTTAACCTGAATCTTACGTACATATGTTTTGTTGGTAATTTCTAAGCCTTTTAAAGTGTTATGAACTGTATTCTGTATGGCTAATTTTCATTATAATATTTTAGTTATGGGTTGATTGAGAGGCACATCAATTTCTTTTTTTAAATAGAATACTGATGACTTCACACAGGAGGATTTTCGCACTTTGTTCGGAAAAGATGATATCAAAATAGTGTTCAAGGAAATCGACAAAAACAACAGTGGAGAGGTGGGTTTCTCTTTTTTTTTTTTTTTTTTCGTTGTTTAAAAAAAAAATCCATCTCCATCTAGTAAGCAGAATTCAATAGCATAACTATGTGAGTGATAAATAGGATGATGTGCTTGTAATTATGAAGTGGTGTGAGTTATGATTGTGATGATGCGAGTGATGCATGGGGAATAAGGGATGATTATGCATGTTTACTTGTGGTGACTATGATGCTAGTGTTGGTGGTAATGATGATGGCAGGGTGATGATCATATGATGATGATGATGCAAGTGACGATGATGATAACGCTGATGATGCTGGTAAAGCTGGTCATGATGATGCTGGAGATGAGGAAAATCATGTGGCTAATGTTAACGATGATGATTATTATATGATAGTAATGGTCATGATGATGATGTTAGGAGTGGCGATGACATTTATGGTTGATCATTATAACTGATGACATTATTTTTTTGATTATGGCGGAAATACCTATGATAACGGTGATGATGTGATAGTGACGGATAATGGTTTAAAGGTTAAATGTTATTCATTTATATTGCGCAAAATACGAGAGTCTCTATGCGCAGATCAAGTGTGTAGATGTAACTGGAAAATTAAAAAAAAAAAAAAGAAAATCCAAGCCAGCACCCAAACCGCAGTATGGGTGCTGAGCAGGGATATATCAAAATGGTGGTGATACAGATACGGTAATGGTGTTAAACAATAACCAGTGCCCTGTTATAATTATGTGTGTAATTTTTCGATATAATGTCATTATCATAAAAGAAAATACACCATTCCAAACCAAGAGTCCCTGAATCATGTTATACTGTATGTATGTATGTATA